AAGGAAAAGGAATCTTATGACACAAATACTAAATAACTTATTAGCAGCACGGTGTAAGATACCCAATGGCTAGCGTAAACAATCATGGAAGAATTAAGAAAAACTCTGAACAGATAGATATATTCTGGCCAGGTATGGTGCTCAAGCCTGTAATCCCAGCGCTTTGGGAGGTGGAGGTGAGAGCATTGCCTGAGCTCAGAGTTTCAAAACTAGCCTGAGCAACATGGCGAGACCTTGTCTCTACAGGTCTCAAAAATCAGCCAGGTGTGGTGGCACATGCCTGTGGTTCCAGCTACTTGAAAGACCAGGGCGGAAAGATCACTTGAGCACAGTGGTTTGAGGCTGCAGTGACCGTGAGCGTGCCACTGCACTCCAGCCTGGATGACAGAGTGAGACTCCGACTCAAAAAATAATATATTCTATCTTTTGGTGAGAAGACCAGAAATGATAGACACAGTGCTAGCAAGTTAATATATGGAAAGAACACATTGTTAGTTACATTGCAAATGGGATATTTTATAAGTTAAACCAAAATAAATAGACTATATATAGAAAACTCATTGTAGAATTTAAACACTAAAAAAAAAGTAAATACTAAGACAACAACTGTAATTGTAAGAGCTATTTGAAAGACATTTAAAATGGAATGTAGATTTTAGGACTATAAATTTGTAAAAGATTTTTAGACTTAAGAAACATTGGGAGTGCCAGGCTCAGTGGCTCAGCCTGTAATCCCACGCTTTGGGAGGCTGAGGTGAGTGAATTGCCTGAGCCCGTGGGTTCGAGACCCGCCTGGGCAACTTGGTGAGACCTCATCTCTACAATATATCAAAAAATCAGCCGGGTGTGGTAGCGCGTGCCTGTAATTCTGACTACTCGGAAGGCTGAGGTGGCAGGATTGCCGAAGCCCAGCAAGTCGAGGCTGCGGTGGCCGGGAGTGGCTGCTGCACTCCAGTCTGGGCAACAGAGTGAGACTCAGACTCAAAAAAAAAAAGAAAAGAAACATAGGTTGGCCAGGCTGGGTGGCTCAGCCTATATTCCCAGCACTTTGAGAGGCCAAGTTGAGTGGATTGCCAGAGCTCGTGGGTTTAGACCAGTCCAGGCGACTTAATCTCTACAATAAAAAAATTAATTTAAAAAATTAGCCAGACGTGGTGGTGTGCACCTGTAGTTCCGGCTGCTCGGAAGACTGAGGTGGAAGGATCGCCAGAGCCCAGCGAGTCGACGCTGGGATGCCCATGCCTGTGCCATTGCACTCCAGCCTGGGCGAGGGAGTGAGATTCCAAGTCAAAAAAAAGGCATAGGGCCGGGCACAGTGACTCATGCCTGTAATCCCAGCACTTTGGAAGGCTGAGATGGGAGGGCCACTTGAGACCTGGAGTTCGTGACCCACCTGGACAACATAGTGAGACCCCATCTCTGTTTTTAGAAACATACACGTGTGCAAAGGAGTTGGAAACAGCAGGGTCAAAATGTCTCTGGAAGACTAGTTAGTAAAGAGAAGAAAAGTGCTCTGTTTATAGTTTCTTCCAGTAAGAAAAAGGAATTGAACGTTTTAAAGAATTGAACTTGTATACTTACGCGATGTGTTGGGGAGTTCTATTGGATGTGATGAGCTGGATCGGATGACTATATAGACATTGAAGAAAACTGGTAGAATGCATATAAATCTGATTTTTTTTTTTTTTTTTTGAGTTGGAGTCTCCCTCTGTCGCCCAGATTGGAGTGCAGTGGCCGCTCCCGGCCACCGCAGCCTCGACCTGCTGGGCTCCAGCCATCCTTCTGCCTCAGCCTTCCCAGTAGCCGGAATTACAGGTGCGCGCTACCACGCCCGGCTCATTTTGATTTTATTGTAGAGATGAGGTCCCGCCAAGTTGCCCAGGCGGGTCTCGAACGCACGGGCTCAGGCAATCCACTCACCTCAGCCTTCCAAGGGCACGGGATTACAGGCTGAGTCCGGCTGCTAAATCTGATTTTTAAAATTAATGAATGGCCTGGTGCAGTACCCCATGCTTGTAATTCCAGCACTTTGGGAGGCCAAAACGTGAGGATTGCTTGAGCCTGGGAGTTCAAGACCAGTAAAGGCAACACAGTAAGACCTTGTCGCAGCAAAAAAATTATTTAAAAAACCTAGCCAGACAGCTAAGGTGGAAGGATCACCTGAGCCCAAGAAGGCTAAGCCTGCGTGTGGTAAGCCATAATCATGCCTCTGCTCTCCAGCCTGAGTGACCTTGTCTCAAAAAATTAAAAAAACTCTTAATACTATACTCTGGCTATAGGTTGCATGACCTGACAAGTCCGTAATCTATCTCGTAAACGTTTGTCCTTGGTACTGAGAATAATGAGAGGCAGTATGAACGACTTGGTTTTGCTGACCCAGCCATGAAAACTGACGGTGCCAGCCCAATGGATGATGGGTTAGATTGTACACCTCTGCAATCAAAGAGGCACAGTAAGTTGATCTTACAGTTTGCTAAAAATGAAAAAGCAAAATACAAGACAGAAGAGGTCGTTAAGAAACCTTTGAAGCAGTGGATCAGTATTCTCAAAGCCACAGGTGGAAATGCGGGTTTCCGTTTTCCATCATCCTGGGAGAGTAAACCCTGACCCTAGTCAGAATTTGCCCACAGGTCAAAATTGCATCATTCAGTCAGAAAAGATGGCGGTGGGGACTTGAAAACTTTGGGAAACGTTTGAGCAAGGTCTGGTATCCAAGTGGTAGCACGCTTAGTATTGTGTTTCACTCCTGCCGTGCGGTAGAGACTGTGCGTGTGGTCGTCGTGGCTGGAGCTGTGTGCCTGGGATTGCGTCTTAGCTGTTTCCCACGCTGTGTGGCGTGGGTGCATCATGCGTCTTCTCTGGGCCTCGGTTTGCTTGAACTGGGATAACAGAGCCTTCCATAAAGTCTTTGGGAGGTTTAAATGAGAGCGTTTGTAGTCTAAGCTTGTGGTGCCTGGCAGATGACACGGTCCGGTACGACGTCAGTGCTGTCCCTGCCTACTGCTGTTGTCCAGCCAGTATTGGATCCTGTGTGGGCCCCCCACTGAGGAGGGGAGAGCTTGTCCTGGCGGACGCCCGAGGCTAGACCTCTTCTCTACCCTACCTGGCTTTTCCCCCTAAATTTTGTATCTTGTTTCCAAAGGAATAAACTCAAGGATTTACTGTCAGGCATTAATTTTACCTGATAGTCAAACAAGTGGTTAGAAAACTGCCGGGCTCGGTGGCTCAGCCTGTAATCCCGCGCTTTGGGAGGCCGAGCTGAGTGGATTGCCTGAGCTCGCAGGTTTGAGACCCGCCTGGGCAACTTGGCGAGACCTCATCTCTACAGTAAATCAAAAAAATTAGCCGGGTGTGGTAGCGCGTGCCTGTAAGTTCCAGCTACTTGGAAGGCTGAGGCGGAAGGATCGCCGGAGCCCAGCAGGTCGAGGCTGCGGTGGCCGGGAGCAGCCGCTGCCCTCCATTCTGGGTGACTGAGTGAGCCTCCAACTCAAAATAAATAAATAAATAAATAAATAAATAAGATCAAGTGGTCAGTAGCACAATAGGGTGACTATAGTTACCAACAATTTATTGAATATTTAAAAATAACAGAGTGGGATTAGAATGTTCCTAACCCAATAAACTGATAAATGCTTGTGAGGGAGACTCCAGTGACACTGATTTGACCACCACACACCGCATTGTACTGTATCGACACATTACGTGTGCCCCTTCCATATATACCACCGCTAGGCATCCATAATCATTAAAAACAAAAAATTAAGGATAAATAATGAACGGAGGTAAGGTAGGTAGGCTAAGTAGCTTCCACGAGGTTGCAAGACGCATGCAGTCACCCCGATGCCAATTCTCTCAAGCCCCTACAGTGTCAGCTTGCAAAATGTTTTTCTTAAGGAAACCGAATTAATTGCCAACATTAAAAATCTTTTGTATCTCTAAACTAACAAACAGAAATGAGTTGACATGGCAACCGTGAGCAGGCAGAGCTACATTCCCGCTTGGCAGGGGCCGGCTGGGGCTGGGGAGAAGCTGTCCCCTGGTTTCAGAGCCTGTGACCTCCCTGCCCTGCCCCGAGCATTTGCATGCTTCCCCCGGCTCCTTGGGCATCTGAACTTTTGGATGTGACCCTCGAGGTGGTTTTACAGTTCTTCTAAACCTGAGATTGCTAGGGTCATTTGAACCTGTACTCTGTTAAAGGGACCCTAACTTCAAGTTCCTCTGAGTGTACACCTACCCGTGCGTATGAGTAATGCTAACATTGGCATTCTACGTTTATATTTCTCCCAGGAGGTAGTATGCTGCTCAATCCAAAAAGCTGAGTCCTGCATAATGTTGCCACTTCCATAACTGAGAACGCTGTCGCGCGTGGCAGTCGTGGGTTTGTTCCTCGTTGTAAATGGTGAGTATGGAGCTTATATTGAATCTGAGGCTTCGCATAATTTATTGCTGAACATATGCTAGATTGCCTAAGCACTGCAATGATATTAGCCATCTTGTCTCTTGATTCATGGTAACTGTCCAACTTTAAAAAATCCAGCATCTATCATATCCAAACTCTCTTTCCAATAAAGTCCTATACATTTTAATATCTGGGATAGTGAAACCAAGTAATTCTTAGGCAAGACTTGCAACTTGTGAAATAATATTCTTCCTCTAAAAAGAGTAAATATTTCTGCGGAACCATGAAAGAGGGTATCTTTACCTTTTCAAAATATTCATTTTATCATTAGCAGAGCATAATGGAGGAGAGAAAATGGAGGAGACAAACTGTGTGACTAAAATATGAAGAATACTATGATAAAGGGTGACTTGGGATACAGAGAGAATTGCGCTTAACTCGGTATTG